GAAAGACCGACCGAAAAATTCTTACGATCGCGCAGAGAGACTGGAAAGGCTCGGAAGAGAAGGAGGAGGTACTCGACGCAAGATGGTACCGATTATTCTCATTCGTTAATTTTTTTATTTACGTTGTTTGAACTTTCTTCATCTGTATCAAGAGAACTACACTAGGTCTGTACTCTTATCTCGTTGGTGCCAGACATACTCGGAGAGAAGGAAAGATAAAGGAGAAAGAGAAACGCGCGCGCGCGAGAGAGAGAGAGAGAGAGAGAGAGAGAGCTCGGTCATAATTCTAGTTAGCGGATTAACTTTCGAACGCGAACAATCTCCCGCAGATAATTCTCGTCGCGTTCTCCAGAGATTTTCGCCGGATGGAGCTCGTTAATTCTCCGCGCGAACGTATCGCGACTGTTGTTTAACATCGATTACGGCGACCGCGCGGCAAGCGCTTAAGAGAACGCACTCTCGAGGAGTGGAGTCGGTGGAAGACAAAATTTCCAAGAGAGCTTTCCACGAAGTTCCGGCTTTCCTCACGTTCGGCACATTAATCGCGTTTCAGCCGGCGCGGCGCGTTCTTCGAGAGCGAGAGAGCGTACAGGTATCCTTCGTTACGTCACTGATTAGGAAACTTGGCGTTTTCGTTTCCGTTTTTCGTCAACAATGTCTGGCGAAGCTATATTTGATTTGGCCCTAATACGATTTCTCTCTCGCGGCAACTGCCGCGACTGGTAACCGTTCTTGATAGTTGCTCCAGGTGGTTGCTGGAGGAGAAGGAGACGGATGGATGGGAGGGAAGAAAAGGGAAGAGTGAGAGAGAGAGAGAGAGAGAGAGAGAGAGAGAGAGAGAGAAAGTGCAAAAACGGATAGCGCGACGAAGGAACTCGATTATCCTCGCATCCTTTTTCAAGACGGTTACGCAGTCGTCAAACCACGAGAGGAGTCGGTTTGCTCCGTCGTAAACTTTGATTGATTCCCTGAAAAAGCCTCAAAGTGTAAAAGCCCTTTGCGCCTTGACGTCGCGGCGGCACTCCAGCGGATTGAGCGCGATGGTTATTCGAGAGACGTGTTACACAATCGATCGCAGCAGTCTCGTTCAGAGTATCGTCCGCGAAAGAATAGTTTCAGCGAATGCGCGCGCTTAACGCAGCCGACGAGTAACGACGTAATCTTTTGGGTAGACTCCGATGGAATCGAGGAATCTTCATCCGGCGACGGCGCGATCGTTCACGACAGCGGACTACGTCCGTCTGTCTGTACTATCCACTACCCGTCGTGTTCGCGCTGCCAAGTGCTCGTGGCTAGTCCGCGTATTTTCACGTAGAAGCCTCGGGCTAGAGGCCATTTCCGCCGTCATCGCCACGTGTTCAGACTGCAGGATGTCGCGCGGCAGATATTTGCTCGCTTTGATCGAATTCAACGGTGAATTCGGTGAGTTGTTTGACGAGAGAGAACTCTATTCTCTCTTCCACGTTCCTCGGACGCTTCGTTCGTTTCGCTCGCGTCGCTCTCTGGGGCTTCGAAACTATCGCGTTCGGCGCGCTCTTCGACTCCGCGATAACGCGGCGTGGCCTCATTGAACGCGAGAATCACTCTCGACTGTTGTCGCGAAGAGGACGCGTTCTACCACGTCTCCTCTCTCTCTCTCTCTCTCTCTCTCTCTTTCTCTCTCTCTCTCTTAAACAACTGAGAGAAACACGCACACGACGACATTCAACAACGTTCATCTTGGCGAGCTTGTGTGTGTTGCCCGCCTTCGTCTTCGCACCGCGATGAATGCAACCGGGAGAGAGGGGTTGCGGCGCGATAACACGGCAACCACTCGGTCGACGAGTTATCACGACGTGATATCTAGCGTGGTAGCCAGGTACGAGAGCGTATGCGTTCCCGGAGGAGACTTGACTGCTCTCGAGCTTGTTCGCAGGGGGCATGGTGACGCGATCGATCGCATTCGCGCTCTTCCGCGAGGACGCGGAAAACGGCGTTCTCCATGTCCTCTCGACGCAAGAGAAGATGGGAAAGCCGATAGGAGACGGTGCGTGGCGAAAGGCGCTATATCGACCTCACCAGGAAGTCGTGATCCTCTCCACTCTACTCTCTCTCTCTCTCTCTCTCTCTCTCTGCATCCCCTCCCCCCTTTCTCTCGTTCTCGCTCTGTCTGGTTCATTCGTACGCGATATCGTGGCGCGTTGCACTCCTTCGAGCGCACTCCACCATCCGTTTCTCGATGACACTCTCGAGCGATTCTAATCTTTTCGCATCTGCCGCTTAATTTCCCACATTCGCCGCTCTCCTTTCGCTTCGCCACGCGAGTCGGCGAGCTTGAGGCGACGACGGACAATTCATACAGTCACATAGACGAACATTTAACACATATACACACATACACACACAGGCGCGCCACTTAAGTCCCCGTTGCCACCGCGCTTCCTCTTCCCATCACGTACTTCAGCATTTCTTCCGATAGGTACACACGCATTTTCTTTTTGCTCCGTTTTCTTTTTGTTTCTCCCGCCACACGCACCTCTCTCGATATAAGCAAGAATCTTTCAGTATGACGATCGTAATGACTTGAGACACGATATGATATGATAATGAGATGATTGTGACCATGGACTATAATTCCTGACTGTGACTTTGTATTTACTCATTTGTTGCACGTTGTTTGCGTTGGTGCGTCTCCGTAAGCAGTATAAGACCCCCATCCCTGGTCGTCGACATTTCGAGAAAACATACCCCCTTTTATACACCATCCTCGAATAAAACGGGAAAAGATGGACGGGAAAAAAGGAATGTGTCCGATCTCGCAACGCGAACGTCCGTCTCTCCGCGTCACGATCCTCTCTCTCCGAGAGAGAGAGAAGAGAGAGAGAGAGAGAGAGAGAGAGAGAGACCCTCTCTCAAGCCTTTCGAGCCCTCATCCGACGTCCGTCGACGGAGAAAGAGATTCAGGCCGCGATATAAATTATTAACGTGATTAATTTGCGATATTTCCTTCTTATTTTTCTGTTGTTTTATTTTTCTTTTTCTGTTTCTTTCTTACAAGAACTTGCGCAGAGATCAGTCGTCGCGTCGGTTCGATGAAGATCCTAACCCGCTCTCGAGAAGCTCCTACCAGCCGAGCTACGTTAAACAAGTTACCACGGGCACTAACGTTTTATACGCCATTATGAGTCGCGATAAAACTCGTCTCGTCGCGTTTGCCAGACGCTCTTCCGCGCGATACCCGACGTGTCATTAGAGTCATTAACCGCGTCCCTCCTAAATCCGCTCGCATTTCTCTTTCGGTTTCTTCGCCGGTATTCAGCGTAATCCAGATCTACTTCGCTTTCGCGCCGGATAAAAGGAGGAAGAGGGACACCATCCGGGGTAACGATGCGCGCCAACTGTACGAGAGAGTTGGTTGTTCCGATAACGAGAGAGAGAGAGAGAGAGAGACATCGATTGCATTCGATGCGCGAGAATGAAATAAAAGGAGCGCGATCGGAATCAGTGAAACGAGAGAGGAACGATAGAGGTGGGAAGAGGACCGTGCGCAGAAATTCACGAAATCCGCTTCCCGCTTCGTCGCCTCTTGAGGGAGCCTCGGGAATTAATTAGCGCGTCTCTCGCGATACATAACGGTCGGTCCAGACGGCCATTGTGCGTCAAAGAAGTAAATAGGACCCGAGCTCGGGGAGAAACGCGCCGTGAGCGGCAGCGAGGGCTGCGAGGGTGATGGAAGGGTTGAGAGAAAGAGAGACAGGTAGAGAGAAAGAGGGAGGGAGAGAGAGGTGGGGAGCGAGGGAAGAGCACAAAGGACAGCCCGAGTCGCCCGCGGCAGAGCGGAAGAGTCGAGCTCCTCTCGCTGCTACTTCCGTCTGCTCACTCACACTCTCTCTCTCTCTCTCTCTCTCTCTCTTTCTCTCTCTTTCTCTCTCTCTCTCTCTCTCTCTCTCTCTCTCTCTCTCTGCTCTCCCGATAGAGACGAAATCGATCTTCGTTCGATATTCGTTGTCTCGAGAACCCATCGTGAAACTACGAATAATAACGCGATTGTTATCGAGAATTTAATTCGGATCCGCAGCGGGGACGGTTCTCTCCGTCTGTGTCTGCGTATATACAAGTATAATACAGTATAATACAGAGGAAGTAAAGAATGTAAAGCAAAGAAAGTGGCGAGCGTATTACGCAATTCCAGTCTTATGATCGATCTGAGAATCGTTTTCTCGCGAAAGCGGAACGGCTTCTCACGTAATCCGTGTAAGTACACAATAGACGAAAAATTCTCATATACTTTCTGATATATTTTTTCATACACATAAATACACACACACACACACACTGGAAGGAGAAAATATCCAAAAGATAAGAAATAATCGCTCAAAGAGTACCAATGACATATCTTTTTATGTTATATTTTTTGCATTAAGAAACAACATTTTTTTCATACGAAAGAAAATGCACATTCTCCTAAAACCGTAGCTTTTAATGAGAGAGATCATTTTGTCTGAATAAAAGAATTATAAAAAATTTTGAAGTAAACGTGTCATTTGTACTCGCGGAGCAAATATTTTCTTATTTTCCAGGTATTCCTTCTTTCAGTGTGTACATCACACACACACACACACACACCACGTGGTTGAATCAAAGACAAAGACGCGCTTTCTCGGTTGCACAACGCAAACTGGACGAACGGAAAAATCGTCGTGGGTCGCGTGCGACGAAGGGTGGCTGGTCGCTCCGCGCTTCGCGAGCCTCCCCGAGACGTCGCACCACGGCGATTCTCTCTCGGAACATAATCCTTCCCCTCCTTCCACCACCCTTCCCCCTATATATATATATAGAATGTACATATACATTTATATGTACATATACATATTTATATATATTGTATTACGTAGAAACGCGCGTTTATATTTATTAATTATGCGCACGAAATGTCGGCCCAGCCAGTCGGCTTTTTGCGGAGCGCTGGCAGTCTGTAAGTTGAGTTTAATGCATGTTGTTTTGTCTGTCCTTGCATGCAGGGGTTCGGTTTTGTAACGTTCGCAAATAGTGCAGACGCGGACCGGGCACGTGAGCGGCTACACGGCACCGTGGTTGAGGGCAGGAAAATTGAGGTGTGCATGAATTTTCTTATACTTATATATACATACATATATATATATATATATATATATACATCGCCATTATGATTAATCCATTGCGAATAGACATGCGTTCTCTTTCAGGAAAACCGCGCGGTACGACGGAAGAGAGAGAGAGAGAGAAAGAGTGGTGAGGGCTCTCTTTCTCTCTCTCTCTCTTTCTCTCTTTCTTTCTCTGCTTAACGTTCTCGTCGTACCGCGCGAAGCGACGACCGCGATCCGCGAGGCTCGATTAATTCGATATCACGATGGATTCACAACGATCCATCTTTGCAAAAGTTACGCGATTTCTCGAGCGGATCGTCGGTCGCCGATAGCTGTGTAAGTCGACGGACGGCCGCGAGCGAGCGCGTCCATCGCTGGGAAATCAAGACGTTGCGATCACAGCACGATACGCTCCCAGGCATGCAGGCGGCTGTTGTTGGCCGCGATATTAATGACACGTTCGCGTGGTTATTAATTATCGCGCGATTATTAACTGTACCAGCTGTGCTTTTTTACAGACAGGTCGCGACCGACCGAGACGTCGCGAATGAAGATGGACGCGCTCGCACAGCGCGCGGAGGCCGTACACAACCAAGAGACTAGATTTAATTGCGCGCGGATCGGCTGGCGACGAATCGCGGCCGATCGCCGTCGCGACTGCGACTCGACGGAACTTTTCACCTGTGTGCGAGAAAACGAGAGACGACTCGTCGATTGTGTCGCGGTAATTAACGAAACGCGCGGGATTATTCCGTGGGCTCGAGATCGGATGAGAGTAGCGTTGAGGCATCATGAGAGTCGGCGGGGGAGAGAGGGAGAGTGAACGAACACGAGACGGGGCCGACGGGGAGAAGGGAGGGGGCCTCGTGGGGACTCGAGAGAAAGAGATTTCTCTCGTGGCCTGGATCAATCTGACTGATGGCCACTCGTGGATCCACGAGTGCCGCGAGCCGATTGGCGAGTCTCGATCCGCTCGAGGGCCTCGAGTGATCCACAAATTCCGTTTCCCGATTGGCCGGTCGGCTTCGTTCCGCGTCGGTGAAAATCAGTGCGTCGCGTTGCAGGGAGAGAGAAAGAGAAAGTCGCTCGTCTCTCTCTCTCTCTCTCTCTCTCTCTCTCTCTCTCTCTCTCTCGATTAACGAGCGAACCGCGAGTCGCTTCGCTCACGCACGCACTCGTCACGTTTCTTTCCTTTTCTTTCTTTCTTATTTTCTCTCTACGCTACGCGATACGACTTTAATCCGCTGATCGAATGCGCGCTTTCACGCGGAGAAGAAAGCTATCATAACGGAATTAAAATTTATTTGATGAACGTAATGATGAGCTCGAGCTCTCGGCTATTACCTCGTGCACCGTCATCGTCGTCGTCGTCGACGACGACGACGACGACGACGACGACGACAACAAGCAACAATGTCTCGGTCGACATTCGCACACAAGGTTGACGAGGTCCGTCGAATCGATCGAGGATAAACGAGGCAATCGAACATGGCAACGGCAGTGTCCAAGTGGAGTGTATCCGCTCAATTGCTTAATCGCCCGATCGTTGGCGGGAAAATCCGTCCGGTGATAATGCGAATCAACGAGCGGAGGACTCGGAATTACATGCGCGACCAAGTGGCATTGCGAAAGACAAAGGTTCCGCGGTAATTAATATTCCACTCGCTCGACATTCGACTCGCGACTGAGACCTCCTGACTTTGCACGCCAATTCTTTTTCACATGTGGACGAGACATTCGCGGCAAAATTCGTGACTGTGGGGTAGCAGGAAACGAGCGTCCACGGCCACGATGTAATTTCACCTGTGAACCGTCGTGAATCTCGACAGGCCTTATCGTCCATGACACAACGGCGCGCGCTGTCACGGCTTTGATCATCGCGCGCGCGCGCGCATAGCTTTCGCAGCTCCACGACTGACCGCGCGACAACCGCAGCGCGCATCTGCTCTGCGTCGACGCTAATACCAAACAACAACGGTTTAGCCTAATTGAACAACTCGATTAGTTATCTTCTCACGGTGGATTAGAGCCGCCGGGTGGGTCTTGCGCCGGGTCGTATCGGCTTTTCGTTTATGCGACGGTCACGCGCGATCTCTCGAAATCATCCTCCCTGCTCGATATTAACGAGACTCGAAAATTGCGCGCGCGTCTCGCGCGACCCTCTTTCTCCCTCTCGTAATTACCGTGATCAGAGAATCGGACACTCGCCGCGAATTTTTGACGCAGCGTCGACGCGACGAAAGGATAGGGAGAACTCGCCGTCGTTGTTTTTTTCCGCCGGCGTACAGGAACGAACGACGACAACGAAAGAGATTGCTTCCGAGAGGAGATATAGCGTCTTCTTCCGTCGTCATTATATCGCTCTTCGGCCGTAATAGGATTATATTCTTGAATCACGACCAGTGATTACTTCTTCGGATTTTTTCCGGTTCGATAATGGCCACCGTTTGATCGGGCGGGCCCCTTCTTTACTGCCACTCTAATGGCTCAATTAAAGCCTGAAAGCCTTTTTTCGACTTGTCGATTAATCGCGCCGTCGCTTGAGTTTTACGATTTTGCGCGGGAGAAATCGCGCGGTTGTCTTCAAAGAACCAGCCAACGTTCGGACGACCGATCATCAATCCACCTTCGGGGTGTCTTTTGCGAGAATGTCACCGCGATTGAATTCGCGAGGCCACGACGGGACGACGCTTCGTTACCAGTCCTATTGCCTCGAGTATCCTCGCAACGCCCGAAGCGAAGAGAGAGGAAAATACAGATGCGCTTCGTCGGAGCCGTTCGCCAATGCGGATTCGTCAGACTCCGTCATGTCGAGAACGCGCAAATCCGCGCTGTTAAAGCTGTCGTACGACCTCGTGAAATCGATCGCGTTTAGCGCGACGAGTAATCCAGCATCGGCATCGGCGGCGGCTCCGGATGCAAAGTGTGCGCGCGCGCGCGCGCGCGCGTGCGTGCAAAGTTGAAGGGGTGGACGCGCTCGAAAACAACCGCGAAAATCGTCGGACGTCGACGAGCAAACGAACCGCACATACAAGAGCCGATGAGTCCGCCAAGCCGGACGATCCGGCCGTTGTTGTCGGGTTCGACTACCGGCTTACCATGGGGGAGGTGTGTAAGCGAAACGGAAGAGAAAAGAAAAAGCCGAAACAATCGTGAAACACGGTCGTATCTCACGCAGATCTCCTGTTGTCCTCCAATATAGAGAGCTTCTGCGCGAGAGAAAGAGGAAATAAAGAGATAGAGACAGAGACAGAGCGAGAGACTCATACAGACAGAAAAAGACAATGGTTGATTGAAAATCTGAGAGAGCGAGAGCGAGAGAGAGAGAGAGAGAGAGAGCGAGAGAGAGAGAGAGAGAGAGAGAGAGAGAGAGAGAGAGAGAGAGAGAGCGAGAAAAAAGACGGAACAAACGAGATTGATCGATCGGTCAGACGGTCAATCCGGGGGAAATAAACGAGAGAGATTAACGAGCGAACGCTGAGCGGACACTGTGTGGGGGACACTGTGAGAGGAGGCCACTGAATAAGGACCTCGCGAAGTGTCCGAAAAGGTAAGGCAACAACCATCGTCGCCGCCGTGGCGGCTAATCCGTGCGCGGCGACGATACGAGATACCACCCGGGATGTGTGTCTCGTGTGCATCACGAGAAAAATTGCTAAACTTGCACACCACTGCCCGCTCTCTCATGCGACATCGACACGAGACGCGTGCCATGGTCGATTTAGTCGCCGGTACATTTACTTTCTTTCGTCCTGTCTCGACCTTTCTTCCTGCGTCTACACGTACATACATATATCTACATTTTTTCTCATTCCTCCTTTTTTTCTTCTCCCCTTTTTGTCTCTCCTCGTTCAATTGCCGTCCCGCGCTCTCGTTACGCGTCTTTTTCCGGCGGAAAAGAAGAAACGCTTTTCTCTCGTCGGACGGCGAAGGAGCTGCCGCGGCAGCGAGTGTTCGCTTCAAGGGGGAAATATATTTCGCGAAACGTGTTAACTCTTCTCCTACTCTTTTTCGAGGAAGTTACGTCGCATGGAAATTCTTTGACGACTGATTTTTCCAGCTTGGAGAGAGAGAGAGAGAGAGAGGGAGAGAGATGTTTCGAAGTTTGCACGCGCAAGATACGGGGTGAAATTGCAAACACGACCGTTGCCGCAGCCGCGTGAGCACTTTGTCGTCCGAGTTTGTTTTGCTCTCGCTTCGCGTTTTTCTTTCCTCTTTTTTCCTCCCGAACAACAGCGGCACGGCACTTATAGTTTATTCGATAAACGTTCACGACGCTCCTAGCGCGAGTCTTTTTTTTTACCCGATTTCGACTGGCACACGCGTGTAGCGCTTGACATTCCCCTAAAGCGAGGCCCCCGCTTTAAGATTTTGCAGCGTATTACTGTTAATCACAGAGAGAGAGACAGAGAGAGAGAGAGAGAGAGAGAGAGAGAGAGAGAGAGAGAGAGAGACTAACGTTTAAGATAATAATTGCGCAAGCTGTCGACACACGTCGTCGCACATAGACATACACACACACACACACATGTGTAACAAGGGTAACAAAAAGCGCGAGCACGCTCAAGTACCTTCGTGGATGGCGATCGAGACCGAGCCGGGGAAAACGCGGTGCGATAATGACGCTTCTTTCGAGCGTAACGATGGCAATTTGCATTTTACTTTTGTCCGCACGAATGAGATTTTCGTGCGCACGCGCACGCGCACTCAAGAAGGAAGAAAAGATAAGGAGGCTATCCTCGCGCCGTTTTTAATTAACGCAGCGAAAGTAATCTCGAAACGATTATATTTCCGTGCATCACTCTTAGCGACGACATTTGACCCGTTTTGCACGGAGCACCGACGGGTGGGGATGTCGGTCCTTTGTTGAATTTTCCGAGAGAGCCGCTGTATATAGCGAGTCGCTGGGAAAAAAAAAATAAAAAAGTGGCACGGACGGTGAAACGTCGGGAATAACGAGAATCGCGAAAGAAGGAAGAGAAAGAGAG